AGGCTTTCTGAAAGTCCAACTATACAATATGAATTGGACCTCCCTTGTCCACATGCTTGCTGACATCCTCAAAGAATTACAATAGATTGATGAGGCATGATTTCTCTTTACAAAAGATGTGTTGACTCTTCCCCAACATATCATGTTCATTTATGTTTCTGATAATTCTGTTCTTTACTATAGTTTCAACCAGTTTACTGGTACTGAAGTTATTTATTACTGCCTCTAATTCCTCTAATTACTTTTAAAAGCCTTTAAAAAAAAATCTCCATTATATCAGATGTCCTCAAGTCTTCTGGTACAGAGCCTGATTTAAGTGATAGATTTCATACTATAGTTAGTAGTTTTGCAGTTTCATACTTGAGTTCCTTCAGAATTCTTGGGGAATACCATCTGGTCTTGGTGACTTACTGCAGTTTAATTTATCTGTTTGTCCAAAAACTCCTTTATTGACATTTCAGTCTAAGCCAGTCCTTAGATTTGTCACCTAAAAATAATGGCTCAGGGGTAGGAATCTCCCTCATATCCTGTGCAGTGAAGACCGATGCAAAGAGTTCATTTAGCTTCTCTGCAATGGGTTTATCTTCCTTGAGTGCTCAGTTAGCACCTCAATTGTCCCGTGGCCCCACTGAATGTTTGGCAGGCTTCCTGCTTCTGGTGTACTTAAAAGGTAACAGCAAATTTTTTTGTGTCTCTTTTGCTAGTTGCTCTTCAGATCTTTTTTTGGCCTGCCTAATTATGCTTTTACACTTGACTTCATAGAGTTTATACTCCTTTCTATTTTTCACAATAGGATTTGACTTCTAGTTTTTAAAGGATGACTTTTTGCCTCTAACCACGTCTTTTATTCTGCTGTTTAGCCATGGTGGCATGTTTTTGGTCCTCTTGTTTTGATTTGCAGCATACATTTTGTTTGAGCATCTAGTATGTTGTTTTTAAATGGTTTCCATGCAGCTTGCTGGCATTTCACTTTTGTGACTGTTTCTTTTAATTTCCATTTAACATGCTTCCTCATTTTTGTGTAGTTTCCCTTTTTGAAGTTAAAATTCTAATTTAAAGTTACAATAGTAACTGCGCCAGTTTGGGGTGATAAATACTTCTGGACAGTGATCCTTTACAAGATGCTGTAGTTGTGGTGCTTTATCCTTGCTTTCCAGGAAGACTGAAAAGTGTAAGGATAACTTTTATGTTTTATATATTATAAAGGTTTTGGCTCACAGTTTTGAAAACAGAATTTGTGGTGTAAAAATCAGTCACTACTGAAATGATATATTGAGTAATTCTTGGAACAAAGTTTCTGAACAACATTACATCAATAAAATATTAAATGATAAATACTGAAACAAACAAAAGAGGAAATAATCAGATGTAACTCAGTGAAATAATTCAGTAGCAGACAGATGCAACACCTTGAGGGCTGCATAGGCACAGGCATAAAACACGCTGTTCCTGTTCTGTTTATTTTCCTGTCTGTGCCCAAATACCCTTGGCAATGTCAGCAGGAATGGGCACAACTGTGGGGAAAGTGAGTGGTTTAGTTACTTGCTGCTGCAGCTCAGATGACAGTCAATTACTATTTTTAATCCAGACAATATTCTCCACCAGATTAAAACAGTGTTGAAGTGGATTAAATTTGGTTTCTAAGTAAATAGTGACTGTATAACTTTAAAATTTTTGCTTGCTTTGGTTTTTCAAAATCCTTCCTTGGTTCTAAACCATATTATACATACATAATAATTTTGAACCAGATTCTGATCTCAATAACATCAGTGTAGATCCAGAGTAGCTATGCTGACTTCAGTGAAATTCCTCTGGATTTATCCCATGCAAGTGAGATCAGAGTCTAGCCTCCTTTCTTTAGTACCCCATTTCAGATTTTGGGTAAAATTTTCAAAATATGCCTATGTGGCATTCTAGCTGACATTCTATTTTTAAAGGTTACTTAGGTACTTGAGACCCATTGACTTTAAACCAGGTTTAGGCTCCTAAAAGTATACATCACTCTGGAAAATGAGACAGCGGTATACTTAAGTACCTTAGGTGCTTTTGAAAATTATATCCTTTGTCATCTTATTTTCTTGGCTTTGACTGCCATGGAAATTGAAAGGCGTGAGGAGATAAAGCTTAAGAAATGGATGTTTTCCAAACATGACACGAGACTGGTATGAGAATCACTTTTGCTATTTCTATCCAAAGCATGCCATGCTCTGCCATAGATTTCTAATACTTCAAAAAATGAACTCAGCTCGCTTGCTTAAGCAAAAGCCTTGGCCAAATGTTTCTAGTTTAGTATGTGGCTCAGTTTAGACATTGTCTTCTGTGCTGGATTCCAGTTAGATCACATCACTTTCCATTCAACATTGTTCACTTTGCAACATGCATACTCTTCCAAAATTAACAGTTGCTACACTGTGCAAAGAAAACTTTCAGGGTACATTTCATGTGATAGGAAAGAAGTTGCCTGTCTCTGTTAACGCAGCAACAGAAGTGGATTTCTTGGGCCTTTTGTAGGATTCCATGTTGTGGAACATATATTTTGCTGAATAATGCATTGTAAAAAGCTTTGTCAATCTAAATCATTTCATTGTAATATTAAAATCAATCTCTGTCTGGGTAAGTGTTCTGGAATTCAGGCACTCAGCCACAGGACTGCAGAAAACTCTATGAAAAGATTTTATCTGATACACTGTTTTTTCTATTGTGTCAGCTGAAGATTTGTGTAGGATTATGTGCTTGTGCTTATTCAGCCTCCACATACTCCTCCAGCTTGATGTCTTGGCCATGAAATAGCTCAGACACAAACATTCTCCTGAAAAAAATATTCTCTAGTATCTTACATGGAAGAACATTTAGGAAAAATAGCTGCAAAATTCATTGACATCCTTGGAGGGATACACACAGTGGAGGGGATAAAAAAGGCTGCTTTCCTCTTACGTTTACAGTCAAGTTGCTTGATTTTTCTGCAATAGCAAAACAATCTCTTTTCAGCTATTTTCTTCTGCATAGAGCATTCTGGTGAACTTGAAAATGTTTTCACTCTAATATTTTAATAAATCTGTCACAATTCCAGTAATAACATATATAATAGTTATTTTTTCCAACAGTAATAAATGCTTATTTCAAACTTGTCTGCAATGCCACATGTTTTTTAAATTATAGACAGCGAGTGCATCAGAACAGCCATACTGAGTCAGACCAGTTGTCCATCTAGCCCAGTATCCTATCTTCTTACGGTGGCCAATGCCAGGTGCTTCAGACAATGAAATAAACAGTTCAGGGCAATTATCAAGAGGTCCAGTCCCATCTCCTGGCAGTTGGAGATTTAGGGACACCATGGGGTCGCATTCCTGACCATCTTGGCTAATTGCCATTGATAGACCTATTCCCTGTGGATTTATCTAATTCTTTTGGCCTTCATCACGTGCCATGGCAACAAGTTCGTCAGCTTTACTGTGCATTGTGGGAAGAAGTGCATCCTTATGTTTGTTTTAAACTTGCTGCCTATTAATTTCATCAGGTGACCCTTAGGTCTTGTGTTATGTGAAGGGGTTAATAACGTTTCCCTATTCACTTTCTCCATACCATTCATGATTTTGTAGACCTTTCTCTTTTTTTGTAGACTCCCCTCCTTTACCTTGGTCATCTCTTTTCTAAACTGAGTAGTCCTAGTCTTTTTAATCTCACCTCGTATAGAAGACGTTCCATACCCCTAATAATTTTTGTTACCCATCTCTGCACCTTTTCCAATTGTAATATATCTTTTTTGAGATCGGGCGACCAGAACGGTATCCAAGTGTGGGCACACCACAGATTTATATAGAGGCATTATTTTCTGTCTTATTATCTATCCCTTTCCTAATGGTTCCTAACATTCTGTTACCTTTTTTGACTGGCGCTGCACATTGAGTGGATATTTTCAGAGAACTTGCCACGATGACTCCCAGGAGTAACAGCTAATTTAGAATCCTTCATTTTGTATGTATAATTAGGATTATGTTTTTCAATGTGCATTACTTGCCCTTTCAACATTGAATTTCATTTGCCATTTTGTTGCCCAGTCACTCAGTTTTATGAGATCCCCGTGTAACTCTCTGTCTCCCGCTTTGGATTTAGCTATCTTGAGTAATTTAGTATCATCTGCAAACTTTGCCACCTCACTGTTCCAAATCATTTATGAATATGTTGTACGGGACTGGACCTAGTACAGCTCCTCTGGGGACCCTGCTATTTACCTCTCTCCAACTGTGAAAAATGACCATTTATTCCTACCCTTTGTATCCCATCTTTTAACAAGTTGCTGATCCATGAGAGGATCTTCCCTCTTATCCCAGGACTTCTTACTTTGTTTAAGAACCTTTGATGAGAGAACTTATCAAAGATTTATTTAAGTACATTATATCAACTAGATCACCGTTGTCCTCATGCTTTTTGACAGTCTCAAAGAATTTTAATAGTTTGATGCATGATTTCCCTTTACAAAAGCCATGTTGAGACTTGCCCAACATATAGTATTTATTTATGTCTGATAGTTCTGTGATTTACTATAGTTCAAGCTATTTGTCTGGTACTGAAGTTAGCTTACCGGCCTGCAATTGCCAGGATCGCCTCTGGAGCCTTTTTTTAGCTAGTCTCTAATCATCTGGTATAGAGGCTGATTTAAGTGATAGGTTGCATACCTCAGTTGTTAATTCTGCAATTTCATACTTGAATTTCTTCAGAACTCTTGGGTCCTGGTGAGTTATTACTGTTTAATTCCTGTTTATTTTTTTTAAATCCTTAAAAGTAAAATCTTCTTATGGTTTACAGTAAGTTACAAAAAAATTTAATTATACTTTTGAGTGAATGTGGCTCTTAAATAAGATATAGAGTCATCTTGAATCTGTATTGAAAGTGTAAATTCCTTGGGCAGGGACTTTTGTCCACATAAATGTTAGTAATACATTAGTTCACTGCTAGTGTTGTATTCAATAATTAGGGGGAAAACTCTGCTGTTCTTTCAGGAGCTGCTAAGTCGAACGTCACTAGAGACTCAGAAACTAGATCTAATGGCAGAAGTTTCCGACCTGAAGATTAAGTTGGTTGGCATGGAAAAGGAACAGAGTGAATATGAAGAGAAGCAGAACAAAGCTGAGGTGAGTCTCACTTAGTTCCTTGTTTATTTTCTGATGCTCAGTCTCATGCATTATCCTGTAGTTCTGAGAAGCACTTGAGCTGAAATGCGTGTGCAACAGCCGCCTCCCGCTTACAGAGCACTGTCTGTACTTTTGATAATGTGCCCTAGATGCTACTGTATTTGTGTTTTCCTTTTCATACTTACTAATGTCAAAGGTTACTGTGCCACTTTAGTCAGACCCAGAGTCCATTCCAAAAGCATGCATTAAAGTTGTTCATCACGTAACCCTTCCTCTTCCACGGAGCTGTGGGAGCGAGGTGTAGGAATCCTTCCAAAGGCAACAATGCAGTTCTGCAGCTGCTGCTGCAGTTTCAGGTCTACCACAGCTGATGTGCCCCCCATTTGTGTGGAGGGAATGGCTGGAGGCTCAGCGCAATCGTGGCCTGGTCCCATATAGCAGATCTGTACTGGTTCCGAAGCAGTCACGAACACCAGACCTGGGGGTGGGAGGGCAGGATTTTCCCTTATGTGGAGGAGGGGTGTGTTTCTCGCAGTTACACTGTAAATGTCAAATGAAGAGAAATCTTGGTGAAAAGAAATGTCTATGTTGGGACAAATACTAGACCCTACTGCAGATGTGGGAGGCAGTGGGCACAGCAGAACCTTTGTTTCTAGCACATGGGGTGAGGAGGTGAATCGGATACTGAGACCCTGCAGGAAATCCACTCTCCAGGCACATCACAGAGCACAGCTCCACAGAACTTCCCTGCACCTCAGCCAGGGGCGGGAGCTGTGCCCCTAACAGAATGGAGCTCTGCAGTAGCCTGTCGGGTGAGGATTACAAGGACTATATTCTGGGACTAAGGTTTGCACTCTACTGCAGCAGAAAAATGTTTTGTTCTAATTTTACTTAGAAGAAATTTGAAATTCAGGTTGTGTAAAATATCTGTCCTCTGTAATGCTTCCAACAAACTGTTGGACACATACTGACTGTACGTAGGTTAGCTATGGGAGCTGTAATTTACTGCCCACTTCTAGGTTTGGAATTTGGGTTTTTTGAGCTTCCCAAGGCTTCTGAAACTTTGAAAGTGTTAGGGGGGATAAATTCTGGCAGTGGCCAAGTAAGTAACAGCAGCCCCTTTATCATCTGTGGCCTCCCCATGATTTTTCACTCAGAACTATCAGTGTTTTAAGTGTAGAATCCCATGTAACCCTAAGGTCTAATCAGGTCTCTGTAATCTACTTCACAAGGAAATCGCCAAATCTCTCACTAAGGGGTAAGTGCTCCCAAGAATCCAAACACCCCATCAGAATGGGGTAATCCCATCTCCTTTGGATTGTGTCAGGAGTTTTCAACATGGGGGGTCATGACTACCTTGCCCTATCCTAAATGATAGGAAAGGTTCTAGTTTGGTGGGAACGGTTGAGAAACGTTGGGTTAAAGTATATGCCAAACTGTCAACTGCTCTAGGGTTGGTAGACCTGACCCCCACCATAACCCCAATGTGAGGGTCAGTTTGATCCTGGCTGCTAAGAGACCACCACCCAAAGTATATCCAAAGTAAGAAAAACTGAGACTGTGACCTGTGCTTATGTTTGAAGAGTCACGCTGGAGCCCACCTGGTTGCTTCAGAGAGCCAAACCTGTGCAAACCAACACTGACTAAGCAAAATAACCATTATGTACATAGCACCCACTAGTAACTGAATCTGTTAAATGAAATTGAAGCTGCAATAAACATTTGGAACAGGCTAGGTGCATGGGAGTGTGGGTGAAGATGCAGGAGGCAGAGCGGAAAGAGGCTGCCTTCACCAGCCACTGCCTTTTCTGGGGAGCACCATACCATCTGCCAGCCAATCACTGTGCTCTAGACTGGGGCTGGGATTGACCCAGGTGGGTACGACCTTGATTGATGGGACGCTGTGTTGACACTACCCCCAGAGGGGACCCCCAGCACCAATGCTATTTTACTCCATTTATTTATTCTCTAGCTAAGCCGTTTTAAATTGCCTGCAAATTATATTGCATATTCAAACTTGCCTCTTGCAATTGGATTTTTTTAAATTTATTTTAAATGAGTATCAAAAACACAGGATAATTCAACTAAAACATATATGTAATTTTTAATTCTGTGCTTTTATATTTTAAATCAGCTGTTTCCTATCAGCTAGATGGAAGTTATTAAATTCTATCTCTAATATTAGGGGAAGATAAGGCAAATTAAGATATACTTCTGGGAGTGATTCTGAGTTTTATCTCTCAAATCCATTTCACTTTGTCCTGCACAACATGAAGCTGTGGTTTGGTTTTGATTTTAGTTAGTAACAAAGAGTCTGAGTCTCACTAAGCTCCCCTCAAAGGTATTAATTTCACATTGAATGCCACTTGTCACTGGCTCTTCAAAAGCACGTGCTAAATTGAAAGTGCTATTTTTATCCATGTAACAGGAAGGCCAAGAGGGTAGATGTTTGTAAACGGACAGGCTCCACTCCTGAGCTCTGCAACGTTAATGTCCACTTCGCAGAATAACTCTCTTCTGTCACAGTGCAGCACTGTAAAGGTTTATGAGCTGGTTTCTTGAGTCCCACCTGAAGAGTTCTCTGTAGCTTTTTCCTTTCTTTAGAAGCTCTGGACCTCTTAGAAATTATTTTAAAAATATAATGAGGTTATGGAAAGCGCTGCAGTATCAAGTGACCTGCTGCATTGGAGACACCTGCGTTGTGTACAGAGGCATAACCAGGTCTTCTATTAGGTGGTGGCAGGAACAACTGTCATGCTCCCCTACCCCTCCCTCTCCACACCTGGTCTTGTACGCCCTGGCTGCAGTGGCGGATTAATGATTTTGCCACTCCTAGGCCCTGAAATAATTGCCACCCCGCCTGCCCCTGACCCGGCCCCGACTCCACCCTTTTCCTGACCCCATTCCAACCCCTTCCCCAAAGTCCCGCCCCCAACTCCGCCCCCTCCCTGCCCCTATTGGATCCCTTCCCCAAATCCCCGCCCCGGCCCCGCCTCTTCCCCCAGCGTGCCGCATTCCCCCTCCTCCCCCCTCCCTCCCTGCCCTGCGAAACAGCTGTTTCGCGGCGCAAGTGCTGGGAGGGAGGGGAGAGAAACAGGACGCGGCGGCGCGCTCGCAGAGGAGGCGAGCTGGAGCAGGGGAGCTTCTCCGTGGGTGCTCAAATTTGCCGCCCCTGCAAATTTGCCGCCCTAGGCCTAGGCCTTGTCAGCCTAGGCGATAATACGCCGCTGTATTAATGGACCATTTGTATGGTGTGGGCTAGACAGTGTATCTTACACACTGGTCTGCATTGAAGGCAATGTACTGCCACACTCCTTGAGGTCCCTGGTGCACAGGGGGTGTACACGTGCTGCACTGGCCCTTCTGGCCCACTGGATGATGCAATCTTTTTTGTCTTGGGTAGACAGCGTGCAGGAGAGGGACACAGCCCTGTCACTATCATGTCCTGTTTGGAGGGATTGTGCCTTGGTCCCTCCTGGCAGTGGGAGTGGGGAATTGGCTCCTGGCACTCTGCTTCCACATTTCTGCCCCCAGCACATCTACATAAACTTGCCCTGTACATTTTCTTCAGATTTGTATGTTTTATAGTTTCATTTGCTGGTGCAATAAAGCAACAATGTAATTTCCTGAAGTTATAATACAGGCAAAACTACTTCAATGGGAGTATGTGTATGCAAAGACAAAGAGCTTTGTGCCATATCCTGGAGCTCTTACTCAGATGACGACAGGCGGCAGAATTGGACCCATAGTTTTTAGCCATGGGAAAACGAATGACTACTTGGAATGCTTCTTGTTTTTTCAGTAATTGTTTTTTGTACAGAGTTTACTGGGATAAGAAGAAAGACTCAAACAGTAGCCACTAATCTCTGCTTTGCCACCATTTTAGTGCTGAGTAGGAAGAGTTACGTCCCATGTACAATGATTCTTCATCTGTTGTGGCTAGGGTTATTTAGAGAGGCACTTTTTGTTTGTATCTAGAAATTAAAACCAAAAGAAACACATTTATCTCAGGTATGTCTGTATCTCTAAGGAGCCTATCACTTGCAGTCCTGGAGCTGCTAACAGGCGGAGTAGACATACAGCTTTTTGCATCACTTGGCCTCAATCCAGATTTTATTTGCATGATCTTCTGAGCCCAGTCCAAGAGCTGTGGGGGAGAGATTGGCAAAAGAGAGAGGGTGCATTCACTGTTTCTGAACGTTCTTGTGCTTATATTCAGAGAAAGCCCACAGCCACAAAGTTTGATCCTAGATCTGGTTCTAAACTTCCCCAAAGTCTAGGGGAGTTTAGATCCGCTCTTTGGCCCAAATCAAACTCCAGCTATAGCTCTAACAGCCTTTAATGCTGAGAGAGAAAAGGCCTGGTATAGGAAAACATACAGAAAGAGATTCCCAGAAGAGGAGAAGCAAAAAGGGAAAGATAAAAATAATGTAATCTCAGTCTTTTCCCTATAAAAGGAGAACACGAAGCTGGAAAGGCAGAGACTGCAGCTGGAGCATCTCATTTTCCCTCTATGGACCCATCTTATTGTCTGTGGGTTGGACAGGGAGTTTTACCATCTCCAACTTGTCAAGGGTGGCTCAAGGCAAGTCCAGAGTGCGTAGACTCACAGGGCCCCACATTCCAGGAACCAGTCGCTGGAGCACAGTGGAAAAGAGTTGGAAAGCAGAAGAGACCTTTCCCCAGCTGCCAAACTCCTGCATTGCCATGTCTGGAATCTACAACTAGAGTAGCTGCCAGTCCCTTACCTATGCCAATCCATACCTACAGAAGTCTGCTTGGGCCCCACACATCTGATTTCACCAAGGATTCTGCAAAACGTAGCTTGGCTCTGCCTCATAAAGGTTAATAGTGTTCCCTGTTCCCTGCCAATGACAAATGCAGAATAAAAGATGGGATTTTCAAAGGAGACTAAGGGAGTTAGGCAAGCGCCCAACTCCCATTGAAATTCAGTGGAAGATGGGTACCTAGCTCCCTTAGTCTCCTTTTAAAATCTCAGCCTGTAGCAGTAGTAGTACTCAATAGGAATTTACCAGCACAGTGTTAATTTTTTTAAAAACTGCTGCCTTGTTGTGGCAATGACTGAGAATGGAACAAAATCCAGACATGGAAAATCAAGGTCTCTGGATAGTATCCTGATTTTACACTAAGTCTGTGCTTTCCAGGAGTTCCCCTGGCAATACTGTGATAGGATGATGGGCTTGGCTGCAGAAACACTTCCCTCCCCACTGCCCTGCTGTGTTAGTGCAAAGTTACTCATGGATGTGGTCACTCGGTCTTCTCAGCATATGAGGGATACAGTTCCACCTGCATTAGCTGGTGCTGCAGCAGGCTGGCTTTGTTACCTACAGACCTGGCACAGTGTAGCAAAATCTGTAAAGGAACTAATACCCAGACTTTGCAGGTCACACAACTTTTCCTAAATGTTAAAGGGACTGTTCATAATTTTATCTACAGTATAAAACCACTGCTAAGTGGAGGAAGGGATCTGAAAACAGCACATATCTAGGCCCTGGTTCAGCAAACCACTTCAGTATGTGCTTAAAAGTTAGCCTGTGCTTTGCTGAATCAGGGCCTTAGCATGAAATACCTGTCTGCCGTATAACTTCTCTAGCTTACTGATGTGCATACCTTTGGAAATTAAAAAGGAGGGTATATTTAAAGCCTTTGATCCTGCTTTCAGAGTTCTGTGCCGTTAGTGCGCCTCGGTTGGTTCTGTAGAGTATTTGCTTGTTTGGAACAGTGTATGCCGAGACCCATTAAGCTGCTCCCCTGCACAAAGAAGTTCTCAGTGATCCCTTCTACAATTTTAGCTAGCTTTGCATTTACTGCACTGCAGGAGAGTTTCAGGTAAGTGTAAACTTTTAAGAGGATTTTCATGTTTTGTAATAGAAAAATTGGAAATCTCCTCTCTGCCCCCTTTGCAGGTCCCCAATCCCTCTGGGTGTTCTGCTGCCCATTAACTTTCCCACTCAGGTGATTGATTAATGTCATAAGATTTACTTTACCTAGGAAAAGTGAAAGGCTGTAAAATACGTGATATCAATATACATGAATATTAAGAGAGCAATTCCGAATTTTTGTAATCTCTGAGGAAGCATTGAAGACTATGAGCCATCTAATTAAGATGGGGGAATAGGATGTCACATAGCTTTTACTACAGACTTACACTTGGTTTCCTTCCCGTAACTAGAAGGGTCCTGCTTTATTGACTGTTCCAAGGAAGCTGTTCCCCATCTGAATGTATTTACATAGGGTTATTTTAAAATTGTGTTGTCATTCTGCTGCCTTCCCTTTTAGAGCATCATTTTGGCTTCTCCAATATGTGTTGCTTAATCATGTGTGTCAGGAACCTGCCCAGGTTGGTGGGGCTAAATGGCAGAATGGATGGTTTAGAGACCTATTGTTCTTATCCTTGCTAGTCCTGGGGATAAAGGGACCTGCTAGTACAGGGGTGGGCAAACCTTTTGGCCTGAGAGCCACATCTGGGAATAGAAATTGTATGGCGGGCCATGAATGCTCACAAAATTGGGGTTGGGATGCGTAGGAGCCGGAGGGGGGCATGCCACTGCTTCCAGGAGCTGCGTGGAGTGGCCCCTGACCCTGCTTCCCTGGCTGGAGCACCGGAGTGGGGCAAGCCCCAGACCTCACTCCCCAGTGGGAGCTCTAGAACCAGATTAAAATGGCTGGTGGGCTGCATTCGGCCTGTAGGCCATAGTTTGCCCACCCCTGTGCTAGTCGAATGGAGGTCGACTAATTTATTTTCTGGAGTAGGATTTCTTTTGGCATGGATGTCTGTAATTATAAATTATATGACAGAGGAGATTATGGTCCAGAATGATCACATGGCAACTTTTTACCAGTAAATGATGATGGGTGCATATATTAATATATCTAACTGATCCCATTTTAGCGCAGCAAAAAAAAAAAAATTCTGGCTGTGGTCACAAATTGCTCCAGAACAGCTATCAGAACTGGCCAACGTCACAGTATGGGTTCCAGTTGTCATTATATCTCTGTATCCTGCTGGGCAGATTGGTAAAGACCTGGCACCAAATTCTGATCTCCTTCACGCTGGTGTAAATCACAAGTAACTCCACTAAACTTCTCTGTCTCAGGTATTTCTAAAACATCCATCCCCTTGGTATATGAGCACTTACTTAAATGGAGTTGATCCAGATTTACACCAATTTACACCTATCTCATGTAGGGAAAATCAGGCTTGTTTCTTTGTAGTCTCTTCCCAGCTTCATGTATTCCGTAGTCCTGTGACTGTGAAATAATCTTCTATGCTTCCTGCCCTTATTTCTTCCTTAACCCCCCTCATTTTCTTTCTCACTTGTCTCTCTTTCCTTCTTGCAGTCAGTAGTGAACCTGATCAGTGAGCTACAGGAGCAGATGTGTAGACTACAGCTGGAAATTAATAGTAAAATCCAGGAAAGAAAGTCTCAAGATAGGAAACCTGAACTGACAGCTAATGGTCCTCAGGCCAGCACAAGATCAGTGGTAGAGAGCCTCACCCAGAAGAATTGCTCTCGGTGTGATGTATGAGAAGTACACTTTAGCATAATTTTGTGCATTGCCCCCTTTCTCACAAAAACTGAATTCCACTAACCAGAATTATGTTGTGAACAATAGGCATTAATCTGTGTGACTTTTTTTTAGAGAGCGTGCTGTGTTAATAATAAACCGAGTGCCAAATTCTGCTCTTATTGATGCCTGCTTTACCAATGCACAGATGTCAATGAGAGCAAAATATGGCCCTAATTTTTTTATAAAGTTTGCATTTTGCTTTTAACTCTCAAAAGCATTTTGTCATAGCTGTTCTATTTTAGAATGCCAACAATAGAACTATGTTTGTTTGTAGAGCAGCATAGTTTCTGAGGTGATCTGCCACCATATATGTCAGCATAACTATGCACTGAATACAGTGAGCCACTTAAGAAGTGCTTAGCACGCTTGCAGAAATAATTTGCTTTTCCTTTCATTCTGCTCATTGTGTGTGTTCTGAGAGATTGAAATTAATTAAAAGAACCTTAGTAAAAGACTTCAGTTTGTACTTTTAAAAAATTTAAAATCTTGAAGCAAATTTTTATTATTCTCTGAAGCAAGCACTTATGATAAAACATTTGTTATGTTTACAGTATAAACCTTCACTTTATTTGATCAAAACCACTTCACGTGTCAGGGTAGAAGGTACTTTGCTTAAGCTGCTTAAATTGAATGGAGGTAGAGTGACATTGGCATGCTTGAAAGCCTATTTTAAGATTACTTTTTAGTTCCAGGTTGCTGCATTTGCAGTGTTTCCTTAATTATTTGTGGGATCATTTCTGGAAAGCCGAATTATAATCTGCTCATGTTGACAGAGGGTTTTGGTGTTTTGATTTTTTGTTGGTTGGTTGGTTGGTTTTCAAATAATTTTTCTGTCCTTTTTTTCATAGTATTTTTTTTATAAATATCCTCTGTTGATTTGGTACCTATTAAACGTACGGCTGCTGTTTTTGCTTAATAATTCACCTCTGTCTGGCACTGACTACTGAGTCATTAGAGTACATATGAAATACACATTGGAGAAAAAGGTTGAAATTTATATTAAGGTATGAACAGCATCGCGAATGGGGTTCCATGTTTAAAATACACATTTGAAGAACTGTTGTTCTTGTTTTCCCTGAGACATAGGTAGGGTTCCTTAATGTACAAGAATATGCAAGATCCATGTGTTTGGATTAGACTTAAGGTTTGTCACATTACAAATGTTAGTTCAGGGAAATAGTGCCCCCTCGATGCCAGTGCCAAGATTCATCAGTAATGTTGGTCTCAGAGAATGAACACTGAGGTTATAATGATCTTAAAGGAGGGGAGGGATTCAAGAGTCAAGATATGGTCAGATAGATGGAGGTCATTAGGATCCTGTCTGGACAGCTTTGGGTAGGCCCACTGACAAGGATAACCCCTGTGCTTGGATGCCTGGTGAAGGTAAATTGGGCACCAACATCAAAGGTAACAAAAGTTGCATTTCAATATGCTAAATTATAAAACATTACTATTCATTAAAATCAGAGCTTGAAAAATTTACCTGCTGTGGACTAAGCCCATTAGTAAAATATATAATAAATTTGTTAGTCTCTAAGGTGCCACAAGTACTCCTGTTCTTCTTTTTGCGGATACAGACTAACACGGCTGTTACTCTGAAACTGGTGATTTTGTTGATACATATTCCAGAACCACACCTTCTGTAATTTAAAGTAATAAGATGGTTATGTATTGTTTGTTGTGTGCTGTTGTAAAATATAGTCAATTTTCTGGGTTTTTTTTTTTTAAATGAGATTTATTCTCTCTCTTGGCTTTAAACTTTCCTCATCTTTCTTTTCTTTTCTATTGTAGATCATAGTGTACATTTCCTTCATTGTCTTCCGTATCTGTTTCCTCTTTCTCCTTCCACTCACTTATAACTCTTTCCCTATGTCATGTTCTCTACCTTCTCTTCTGTAATTTCTGTCTCCTCGTGCACTTCTGCCTCCCAGATCTCTCATCCCAAAATACCATGCTCCTCTTCCCCCTTAATCTTTCAGAATCTCACCACTCACACAAAGGACTTGCTGGAAATGGGCCATTTTCATTACCACTACAAATGGTTCTTTTTCTCTCCTGCTGATAAAAGCTCACCTTAACTGATCACTCTCCTTATAGTGTGTATGGTAACACCCATTGTTTCATTTTCTGTGTGTGTGTATATATATATCTATATATAGATATATAGATATTCCTACTGTATTTTCCACTACATGCATCCAATGAAGTGGGCTGTAGCCCACGAAAGCTTATGCTCTAATAAATTTGTTAGTCTCTAAGGTGCCTCAAGTACTCCTGTTCTTTTTGTGGATACAGACTAACACGGCTGCTACTCTGAAAGAAAGGACTTGGGAATTTTACCAGACTCCTAACAGCCAAGTGGCTAAACATACCAGACAGGGGCAGTGCCCAGGTGAGATGCCCTTCCTTCCTAACCCTCCATCTCTCTTAAGGTGTTGGGAAATGGGAAGGTGCTGAGATTCCTATCCTGATGCTCTTCTGGTACCCTCCTCAAAGTGTCATCTTTTATATCAGTCTTCAGCTAGTACTTGTCCAATAAATTTGAAGCAGTGCCTCCCATCGCCAACCAAATCATCCTGGCTGTTAGAAGGGAGAAGGAGTATTCGCTGTGTTCCCTCTATATGTCTTATCTAGATATTTGAGCAACTTTATAAAGGCCTCATAATGTAGTATCTGAGCCCCTTACAATCTTTAACAAATGTAATGTATTTATCTTCACAATGCCCCTGTGAGGCAGGGAAGAACAGGAAAACTGAGCAGCAGCAGATTGAACTGTCCATCTGCTGATGGATTAAACAGACACAACTCGTCTACCTGGGGGTTTTAAACCAGTTCAAGTTGAGTTAATCTGGTTCTATAACGCTAGCATACACGTGACGCAACGCATCTCCGTGCATTAACTCCACACTTACAGCAAAACTCTGGAGTCCTCTAGCAAAGTGGACTAAGTTTGCTACGAATTGATTTAGTTAGATCTGTTGTTTGTGTGTATGCACTGCTCCAACAGCTATCCCTCAGTGCTTTGAAGTCGACCATTACTGGCCTGTCTATGTACCTGTGTGCATCCCCTGCCCTGGTGTCAAGATCCCAGGACAGACCCGCCCTGTAGGTATGAGACCAGCTTTTGCCCATTTGCTCCTGGGCTCGAGTGTATCAGTATTCTTGCAGTACTATAGCAATTCCACTCCACAGTCCCCACAACTTGCCTTGTGCTACTGCTTGGAGCCATGTTGAGACCCTGCATCTCATTGCCATATGGGAGAAGAGTCAGTGCAGGAAGCTCTTTTGGTCACATCAGGATGAAGAACAGTTTGTGGGTGTCGTGAAGCAGATGTCCACAAAGAGTCATGATCGGGACACCAAGCTGTGCTGGAGAAAGAGCATGCAGCTCAGGAGGGCCTACCTTAAGATGAGGGATGCAAGGAAGACATCCACCAGGAGACATGTAACCTCTCCATTTTATAAAGAACTGGACAGACCAGCAAACACTTTTGGATCTTGCTACCAGCCCTTTTCCAACTGCCAAAGTGCAACCAGGAAGATGAGTGGGATGAGGGCAAAGAGCTGTCCCCTGAGAGCCCGGTGAAAATCAACCCAGTTCCTGCCCTGCAGCTGTAGAGCCCAATTCCTACCCTCTATCAGCCGAGCCCAAGTCCCCGCCAGTAACCCAGGCCGGGACCAGAGACACATCCTCTGGAGGGAACTTCGGCATGTAAGTACCTGTTTAAAGTTTTTCGTTATTATTATTATTTTATTAATTGTGGTATGCTGCTGTGCTGATTTCTGTCTGGGTGGCCCACGGCTCATTTTATGCAGATATAAACTAGGAGTCTTTCTGAGTTTCCCAAGCCCCCTTCCTTCCCCCTTCCCTTTCTCACTCAGATCCCCCACCCTCCCCCCAAATCCACATTCCCAAGATGGCAGCTGTTCCACTTGAGCACTCTGCCTCTTTTCCATCCTAAATCCTGGACCATCAACAGTCTTCAGGCCCACTCCATGGAGGGTACGTGCCTATCTGCCCATTTTCCTTTCACCTTCCCTCATCTGTCCTGCCTGGCGAACCCCCTTCCACCATCACCCATTTGCCCTCTCAGAATGGCAGCTTTCAGCCTGGCACAGCCACAGCCTCTACCTCACTCCCTCCTGTGACAGATTCAAATAATTAATACATTCATTGTGCTAAAAATACAAGAGTTACTGAAACACTGGTTACAGGAAAAGGAATTTGGTTAGTGTTCATAGTTTACATGAGATATAAATGCTTATTGAAAGCTCAGTGCAGATACAAAAAGTAATGCTACTCACTGAGGTATATGTGTCCTGTACATTGTAGCTGACAGTTATTGCAGGACCCTGTCTATTTTTCTGTGGATTTTCTCCATGTCTGCAGGTGAGATAAAGCAGAATTTAAGACTGAGAAATGGCTTGATTTTGGTTCTCACATTATAGGGATTGCCACGTACTCATTCCTCCCAGTATAGCTCGCAACTCCTTTCTACTCCTACAGCACTTCTGGGGGACCATCTTGGTGAATATCTGCACAGCGTATCTCTTTGGTCTGCCCTTTGCCTTTTGAATAAGGCTATTCTCTGCCTCCTAGTCTCTTCAGTGTAACGTCATCGAGACTTAGGACAGCACAAAGGAAATGTAGAGGGGATTACTATGCAGCTCATGCCCTGATGCCCACCTCACCCCTATGACAGCACAGAGCCACTTCCCACGCAAAAACACAAGTGCAAAGCATGACTGGGAACATAATTCCCCTGCCCCAGCAATTCGAGACACAGTGGCAAGGCAAGACAGCATACACTGTACACACTAAAATTGCAGTGCAACCAGCACCTTTCCCACACGCAGACCACTTATCTCTGAGGTTCCCCCAAGACTGGGAAGAATCTCAAGGGGATAAAGTCAGTAATTCATATTTAAAAAAGTGCTATCATGGCCTGACTGGAAAACAAACAATAGTCCACTCTTGGTTTTTTTTCCATTCTCCTACAGCCATGGCACCTGCAATGGCCAGACCGCCAAGGAGAGGGCCTCTGTCAATGGCAGAGTGCCTGGCCAACCTGAGGGGGCATAAAAGGAAGACTTGGGACAAGATGTTTGCACAGCTTATAGCAGAGTCCCGAAGAAAAATTCAAGATTTGTGAAAGGTGGAGGTAGTAATTGAGGAGCCAAAGGGAGAAAAAAATGGAGCTGTCAAACAAGACATTGTCAGTGGCCATGGACAACATCACAGTCACCAGGGAAAGCATTGCCATAACCAAGGAGAGCTTGGAAAAGGATAGGGAAATGCAGAGGCAGTTCAGAGAGACTATATTAAGCCAAAAAATGCTGCTTCATCGTATGGTGGTGCTAGGACAGCAGGTGCTGCACGTTCTTCAGCCCCTGGACAATACAAGTTATTGGGGCCACCTGCAACTCCACCCTGCTCCAGCCCCCTGGAGCAGTGTTCCCAGAAGCCATGCCCCTTGCAGAGGTCAACCTCTGAGCACAGAGAAAAAATGCATCTGAGCGCCCAGCTCTTTTGAGTCCTTCAGTGCCCCTGATAACTTTGAGCCACGGCACTCAATCCCAGAAATCCCACGAACAAGAAGAGACGGAAGCAAGGCGTATACTTGCCTGTAACTTTAAGCCCCTCCGCCCCGCCAACTGTTCTGCACTGCAATGCACTTTCAGTGTTGGCTGCACTGTTATTTTGTTTAATATATTTTCGATTAAAAGCTGCTGTAGTATTGCATCAGTAAAAACTTAATTTTTGGTTTGTTACATGACTCTTTCTTGTTTCATAATCAAAACCATTTAAAATTCATATATTATGCCTCATCACTGCATGAAAGTTAGAAATCCCTTTAAACAATGGTAAAATAATTTATGGATTTTCACAAAAGTACTTGGACAAGGCCACACTTACAGCACCCAATGAACCTGAATCCCACTTCCAGGGGCTAACAGCTGGTTGTATAGCCACACGTTTTCAGGGATGAGACTCAAAATAAGAACAGTGGGCATCCCAAACAATATGTCTCTAGGTCTTTCCATTTTCTGTGGTATACCTGGCTGGCTGCTCAAACTGCTGAGCAAGATCTGGACCTCATCCTCGCACCCACTGTTAAGGCTTTCCCCCTTATCTGCACAAATATTGGATAGAATACAACATGCTGATATAATGCTCAGCACATTTTTTTCTGCCGCTTCCAACCTATTCCACAAACAGTGCCATCTCCCTTTCAGACAGCCACATGCACACTTGATTACCATTCTGCAGCTGCTGAGTGGGTAGTTAAAAAGCCCTGTCATTCTGTTCAGGTGGTCTGTGAATGGCTTCATTAACCAAGGAAGCAGGGCTTAAGACAGGTCTCCAGAAAATATCGGGACACATGGGGGAGGGGTGGTCCGCCGGCGGAGCAAAAGAAAAAGCCGAGTGCTGTTCCTGGGGCCACACAGTCCTCCTTCCATTAGTTTGAAAAGACATGAGTTCTGATCAGGTACACTTCCAGTCTACCCTACATTTATGTCTGTAAACCTACCATGGTGGTCAACCAGCCCTTGGAACACCATGGAGAACTATCACTTCCTATTCATAAGTTCTGTGCCTTAGTGGGGGAATGAGGGTCTGGGAGGTGGCAAATGATAGGAGATAGTTTATAAGTTGTCCCAGACAGTTTGATGGCTTTGCATGTATGTGGTTCCCAATAGTCTCCTGAGCATTACCCAGCATTATAACTGGATGCAACAGTACCTTTTCCATGGCATGACACTCCTGCATGAGAATGTCCCAAGCAGTTGATCTCCCCAAGTTGAATTGGTCTGCCACCAATCAGCAGCATTCTGGAGTGGCCAGCTTCCTGATGGTAATAGTGACCTGCTTCTCTAGGGGCATGGCGTACAGCATGTTGATATGCTGTTGATGAAGCTCCAAGCTTCAGCACTCGTCTAAAAAAAAATTAGCCCTTCCCACCCTGAAATTTTCTTGCTACTGCTGGTCATCCCAGTTCTGCAGAACGATTCATTCCTACCAAACCATGCTGGTTTTCCGAGGCCAGAAATGCTCTGCTCAGCATGGTGGCAGACTGCTTGGTGTGTATTTCAGGGCTCAAAGCCAAACAAATTTGGTTCTGGAGACCACATGTCGCACCGCTGAGTGTAGGATGTGGCAGCAGCAACAGCTCCTCCAGCAGCAGGAGGAAGTTCAGCAACAGTGGAAGCAGGACAAGGGTGAGGAAGAAGAGGAGGACACCGAGCAGCTAGTTCTAGAGGACCAGTTCCTGGAGGAGTTTCAAACCGTGTGAACACTATTGGTGCAGCTTGTGTACGGCGCATTATCAGCCATGCAGCAAAAAGCTTTGCATTAAGACTCCCCATGTAGATATATCCTAATAAAGCTGCTGAGAATCTTTTTGTTGTTGTTGTAAATGCATCTCTTGGCTGCATCAATTAACATGGAACCTTTTATTTACTGACGGGTCTTGCTATCATCAGCTCCTCAGGTAGGGACATAGTCTTATTTGTCTGTAAAGTGTTTGTGTGTGGTGCCTGTCTGCGGAATATTGCCTCATCTGTGGTATTTGTTGGTGTTTTTAGGTATCTTAAATACCTGCCAGCAGGAGGCTTTTTCTGTGAACATTAGGAGACTCTTGGGCAGCATTTCAGACTTCTAGATTTTTTTTAAAAAACCTCTGAACACAACCCTTGGTACAATATAACATGGATATAAGTGGACCCGAGCACCTGAACACGTCAGAGTCAGCCATCTTTCCTACACAACCAAGCAAAGTTGGTCATAATTTTGGCTAGAGAGTTTCAGAAAGGATTCCACTTAATAATATAGCAAATCGAAGTAGCTTTCACTTGCTTAATTTAGGGTGCACAAATAACAAGGAAAAGTTTATTTTGCATGGATGGTTCCACATTCACTGGACTGTGTCATGGATGAGCCTTGATTCGTGTCCTTGGAAAACAAACACTCGGCTGAGCCTTTCTTTAGCTGTTCTTTCTCTTTTTCTTTTGCAGGGTTTGCTTCAGGAACTCAAACATCTCAAAATTAAAGTGGAAGAGCTGGAAAATGAAAGAACCCAGTATGAATGGAAATTAAAAGCAACCAAAGTAAGCAGTAAATGTAGCACTTATGCAAGACAGATTTATTCCAACCTAGATGTGGATACTCCCTATTTCCCTCAATATTTACTTTTTTTAACATTTAATACATTTCACTGATGACTATAAAATAAGGTTTTGTTTGAACAATCTGTTGAATGCAGATTTTGCCTTTAAAGTTGTTCTATCCTTTTATTTAGGATTTTTACTCTTCCTGCCACACGGTTCTCCTCTCTTTTTCCAAAAACTAATATATTGGCTAACAAAGGAATTGTTCCATGAGCAAGCCTTCCTTTCAAGCTTTCTATTTCACTCTTTCCATATCAGTTACTAGCTTCTGGAGTAAGTTCTCTAGCTTGAAATTCACAGTTTCACAGATGTAGACAAAGACAGCAGTGGGAGGAAAAATGCAGAGCTGTTTTGGTGTACCACAGGGGTCGGCAACCTACGGCACGCGAGCCGATTTTGAGTGGCACGCTGCCTGCCCGGTGAGAGGAGGAGGAGGGGCAGGAAAGCACCACGCTGGGGGAAGAAGGGGGAGGGGGGAGCTTGGCTGCTGCAGGACCAAGCTTCTGCCTCCTGCCCCCGCAGGGGAGAGCGGTGGGGGAGGGGTCCTGGC